GGTCGGCCTCCTTAGGCACCGGTCAGCTTCCTCGGGCTGCGGTCGGCCTCCTTAGGCACCGGTCAGCTTCCTCGGGCTGCGGTCAGCCTCCTCGGGCTGTGGTGTCCCACCCCACCGCTGGGAGCGGGAGCGGCAGCAGCAGGACGGGCCGAGGCTACTGCAGGCGGAGCCCGAGACGCTGGAGGGTCCGGGAGAAATACGCAGGCAGGGGTGCCAGGAGCGCCGTGGGGGCGTCCCTGGGCCCGGCACCTGGGAGCTGCAGGCGGTGCAGGTGCAGGTGCAGAGGCAGCAGGGCCGCCTGCGCCGGGGTCAGGCCCAGGCGCCTGAGGAGGGCGGCGTCCAGCACCTGGCGGGAGAGGGGTCGGCTTCAGCCGGGCGAATTCCAGCCCTGCCCAGGCCGCACCACCTCCAGCTACGGCTAAAGGGGTCCCCCGCCCCACCGACAGCTCGGCGAGGGTCGCGGAGTTCTAGCCAGGAGCCGGGCGCGTGTGCACACCTCGCCGGGTGTGGGCCAGAACCCCACGTGAGCCCGCCCCCTCTGCCGGCCCCACAGCAACAGCCGGTCCGGTCCGTGCGCGGAGCCCCCCCCACCCCCAGGACCGGCCTTGGGGAGGGAAGTTAGCGCGGAAGGCACAGAATTGCCCTCATTCGCAACCTCTCGTGCCCGGTGTCAAGAAGAATGCGCTCTTCGGGGCGCTTAGAAGTCGGCCAGTTCCAGCGCTTGAACCGTGGGGCAGAAGTGGCTCGGGACACAAGGAGGTGTCCGTGGCGTGCGGCCCCACAGCAAGGGGGTCACGCTGGCCTTGAGCCTAGGGCTGCCCCAGGTCCGAGCGGCACAGCTAGCACTGGACAGGTGCCCACCTGCCCCGCACGCAGGCGCCTACCTGTCCGTGGGGCCTGGTGCTCTCAGCTGGCAGCAGGAAGCGCCGGCCCAGGACGGAGGCCACGCGGGCAGAGTGCGTGTGGTCCCCGAGCACAGGGCACAGCTGCAGCGCCATGTGGACCTGCAGCTGGCAGGGGAAGGCTGGAGGCAGGAGAGGGGTGTCGGGGAGGTGGCTGTTACTTCCCCGTGCCGCTCCCGCCCTTCCCCCGGGCACGCTGCCCGCTTGCGACACTGGGTCTCCCGGTGAAGCTCCTGGAGGAGGCACACGCTCTCCTGCTGGGTGCCAAGCGGAGGGTGTGAGCGCGGAGCCGCTGGCGCCCTGGCGGTTCAGGCTTCGCCCGGGAGAGCCGGGGAGGAAGAAGCAATGTGGAGGAGGCCAGCGGACGTGGGAACAGCTTCCACACAACTTCCTCGCCCTCCGGACCCAGCCCGTGCCTGACCGTTCTGGAAGCCAACACATTCTCCACTTGGTTTACACAGCTTGGACGTGGTTTGGGGGTACGTTACGATCCCAAGGACGCGGGCCAATGCAGGAGTGGAGGGCTGGTGCGGCATCTCATGAAATGCTTGACACAGCAAGTGTCTCAGCCTCTGGGAGGCCCCACCAGCCACTCCCACCTCCTTTCCCGTCTTACAGAGGGGAACACCCAAGCTCACGAAGAAGTGACTTGCCCCCCAGCAGAAGCCAGGATTCTCAACACCCCCCCCCCCCCAAACACACACAGGAGCTCTACTCTGCTTCCATTTCTGGCAAAATGGTGGACAGGACGATCGCAAAGCCCTCTTCTGCAGACCTAGAGGCGCGGGGTGGAACATACGTAAGCACAGAGCTGGGCGCACAGGACAGGAAGGTCCCCAAGACCAAAAGAAACCCAGAGCACACAGAGTCAACCTCCCACCCAACTTAGGGTGCTGCACATGTTGGTATCCAGGGAGCAAGGCCGGGGAACCCACCAGGCACTGGTGAAGCCTTGGTGACCCAGTGGCACCGAGGCCCAGACCTGCAGGGATGGCTGGCCAGCAGGAAAGGCAGCCCCGCCGGGTGGGCATCCCCAGGGGTGTGGAGGGGCGAATGAAGTCTCTCCCTGCAAATGCAGTCGCGAGCCTGCACTCAGGCTGAGGGCGCAATGCCAGCTGCCTGCCCGTGAACTTCCGGCCGAGACAGCGACCGGAGAGAGGTTCTGGGGCTTCCAGGAGAAGCAGAGACCAGACCTCCCCCGCCCACGTGAGGCCTCAGAGGGTTTCCACAGACACAAGCCCAGCACCCAGTTCACCATCTTGAAGCTCAGAGCCGTAAGGACACAATCCGTCAAGTATGAGATCCAGCCGGAAACAAGAGTATCGGAGCCCCAGATGCAATTACAGAGATACAGTATCAGTGTCTGACATGGCTAGAGTGATAAAAATGGGAACAAAAAACAGATGCTATTTTTTCCCAGATGCTACGTATTTTAAAGGCCATCCGTATTTGTGAGAGAACCAAGTAGTCCTTCTAGAAGTGAAAATGAATCAGGTAAACTGGCAGGTTAGATCCAACTGAAGAGAAAATTACTCGACTGAAATATCTAGAGAAGCAGCTAGAATGAACAGAGATAAAAAATGGGAAACGTGAAAGAAAATTTAAGAGAACTAACAAGTAGAATGAGAAGGGGAAACCTGTCTACGAGCCAGCCCGCACCAAGAGGAACTTCCACAGAAAGAACTTAGCAGGGCTGATGAAATACGTTCATCTTCAGACCTAAGCAGCACGGTGACTCCTCAGCAAGATGCATAAAATGAAACCCACACGCCTAGATTCATCCTAGGGAAGCCAGAGCGCTGAAGACGGAAGATGTAGAGATGAGTAAGCAGTAAGAGAAACAGTGAGCTACACGGGTGAGCGGCCGGCGGGCTCCCGCGGCGTCCGGCCAAGCGCATGCACCAGGGTGCCCACCACATGCAGCCCAGTTACCACCAGCATCGCCTCCTCCCACCCTTTCTTCCCTCAGCCGCAGACAGCACCAAAAGCTGGCCGGGGCCCCAGACCCACCTGTCACTGGCTGCAGCTGGACCAGGGCACAGCCAGAGCCCGAGGCCACCACGCGGAAGTGGCTCAGTGTCCTCTTGACACCGTCCAGGATGTCCTTTCGGGATGCAGACCTCACCGGAACTGCCTGTGGTGCCAGCCACGGGGAATGAATTGAGGCTGCCATGCTCGACGCTCCCTGCTCCTGGCACTCAGGACGAGGCCGCAGTGTGGACGGTGCTCACTACTTTAGGGCTCAGGAGGACCAGCCACCCCACACCTCGATGGTGTCACCTTGGGGTGACATGGCTGAGGGTCTCGCCCCCTTTCCCACCCAGACCCTGACTCACGAGATCGACACCGTTCATGTGCTCCAGTTTCAGAGCGGCCTGGATCTTCCCCTCAGAAGCAGCTGGGATCCCATCAGTGACAGCACTGTGAGGGGGGGGGGGAGGTCACAGAGCGCTTGTGGGCCCCCCAGCCCCCCAGCCCTGGGAGCCTCCCAGCGCCTCTCACCAATAGGTGGCTGTGGGCTTCTGGGCGCTTCGCGAGTGGATGAAGAACTTCCGGAGGCGGCTGGTTGTCTGGGGGCAGGCGGACAGGAGCACAAGCCCAGAGGTCTCCCTAGAGGAAGGGGACAAGTCACAACAGTGAAAGTCTGGCGGGGTCACCCCCAAAAAAGGAGCCCCGAGGAAGGGCTTGCTGTAGAACAAACAGCAACACGAGGCCCACAGTCCAGACCCCCAGGAACGAGGGCCCCTCATGTCTGGGAATAAGACTGTGCAGCGTGTCTGAGTTTCTCAGGTCGCCCTGGCTCCCGGGCACGCAGAGCCAACGTCAGCGTCATTACTACCAGCTGCGAGTGTCCACCACGTGCCGGGCACTACAGTACCTGGGCGCTTCCCAAAGACGCCCCCGAATTTGTGGGCTTGGAGAACGATTCCATCCAAGTACCATCTTTTTTTTTTTTTAAGGATTTATTTATTTACGCATACAAGAACTGGGGTACGGACCAGAGGTGCGGGGATGGGAGAGGCTTCACCAGAGACAGAGGGGGCAGCAGAACAGGTGTCTCTACTGAGACACACTGCTGAGGGGAGCGGCGGGGAGACTGGCGAGCTCTGCTGTATCATGTGGGCCAGCTCCCTGGCTGGGGATGGCACTCGATGGCTTCACAGTGCTGAGACTTAACCCCTTGTGCCACCGGGCGGGCCCCGGTACCACTTCTTACTGCTGGCCATGGGGCGAGGCTCTCGCAGGCAGCTAGCGGCACCTGTGTGAGGTGGACTCTGGCGGTGGCCGCTGGCCTGGCGCTGCTAGCGCTACCTGATGACTCAGGGAACTGGCTCCGTGAGCGTTCACGCTCCGCCTGAACTGGCTGTGCCCGAGGCCCGTGTCCCGATCTCTCTGCTTCTTCCTCGCCCCGGTACCCCACCTGCGTGATCCCAAGCCAGCACATGGCACAGCTCACTCCCAAGCAGCTGTCTCCCACCCCCAGAAGACGCCTGGCCTCCACCTGCTGTCGCACCACCACTTACTTCGCAGATGCTCGGACAACCTGGAGCTCCTGTTTCCCGAGCCCCAGGGCCTGGCTCAGCTCTGGCAGCACCGAGAGCAGCGTCAGCTCCCCTGGCTTCCCTGGAAACCGAAGTACAGGATGTTCCCAGCTGGGAGCCAAAGCTTCCTCCCACCATGCTCTTCTCATTCTCCCTCCCTCAGACACCACCGTCTTTCAAAGCATCCCCACCCCCGGACCATACCTGTCACAGGTAGACCCTGGGGCTTGTTCAGTGTCACCAGAGGCCCTGAAACACGACACAAACATTAGTAAAAGCAAAAGCAGCAGCGTTTGCACCTCATTGTGTGGCCCGACTGGCAGGCCGCAGCGCTCAGGCAAGTTACCAACCTCGCCCACGCTAAACTTGCTGGCATTTGCTGTTCCTCATCCCGGATGTTCATGCCTGGCTCCTTCCTATCACCTGGGCCACAGAGCGCCCCGACCCCCAACTGACATCTGCCCCCGCAGTCCCTACCGCCACGCCCTGCTGTTTGTCTGTCCACAGCACTGCGCACTGGCAAGTACCTGGTGCCTTGCTTCCTAGCAACCCAGTTCTCTCCCTAAAATGTGGGCTCCGGGAGCCGGTCCCGTGGTTCAGCGCTGTACCCGCCTGGAAGGGCACGTGCTTAGCAAACAGGGAGGCAAGTCAATGCATCGCCCACCAGCCACGGGCTCGGAGATGGCTTTCCTCAGGCCACCATCGCCCAACAGCCACTGGCTCGGAGATGGCTTTCCTCAGGCCACCATCGCCCA